CTGTGATGCCCAAGGTGCTCAGACCCAGCCGATTCATCCTTTACTACACTGGCTGCTGCTGGCCCAGGGGTTTCTACAAACTTTCTCACGCCAGAGGAGCCCAGCTCCACGGCCATGCACAGCAGTCCCTACAGCCGTGTTTCCACGAGCTCACTGCTGTCTCTAGCTTGCAGGGCTTCCTGATGCTCTGCTGGAGACGGGAGAGGCTACATCCTGTGTGGAATCTGTTCTTCTGGAGACAGGGGTGAGCCTGTGGAACAGGCAGCCTTCTGGAATATACCTGTCTCATGAGAATAAATGGGAAAGAGCTCACTACGGAAACATTTAAAGAGGGGTGGGCATACTTCCGGTTTCCTAGTAAAAGCTGGGTTGTTTGAGGAAGGAAGAGACCTAATCTCCCCCAAGCCTTGTCACACTCCAAGTGACCAAGGGTGGCCCCCCGAGGCTGACTGGCAATAGCATCCCTCCTGAGGCGGCCAAGCTGCACTGAGTTTTGAGGATGCCTGTTGCTGCTGAAGTCACACTGGTGGCTTGCTTCCTCATGACTTCTGGGCTCATGCTAATCAGGAGGACGAACTGGCCCTATGTTCACCCGGACACGGGGGTTTACCAACAAGCTTTGCAGATCAGGGCTCACAGGAGGTAGTGGGCAAGAGCCAGGCATTTCGGAGACCAGACCATGACGTGCCCAGAGCCCCAGAGTGTGTGCATTCCCCACGTTCTGCCAAGCACAGAAGCCCTCTGCACACCCTCGTAAAATCCGAAGATGAGCGGGCACTGGTGCTGGGGCAGGGAGACAGTATCCAGTCTCCCATCTGGCTGCTCTCTTCAAGCTTCAACAGCCAGACACAGAACAGGTAACGGGGCACAGCTTTTGTGCACATGGCTATCAGGGGGCCTGGGTGTAGGGACTAGCCTGGTGGTCATGGCTGGGAGTAGATGTGTGGCCTTGCAGTTTACCGAGGCTTGGGGGACCTGGGACTGGCTGGAGGGGTGCAGTATCCGGCAGGGCAGAGGTGGGCAGCCCTGTAGTATCCATGGAAGCACACCAGACCCTAGGCTGAGAGCAGTCAGAGCTAGACCCCCCATCTCCGTGTGGAGATGACAGGCGGGCATCTCCCAGAGAAGGGCTGGCAGTGGCTTCTTCATGTGCTTCCTCGAGGCCGCTGGCCACTTCGCAAGCCCACCTACTTTTATTTAGCCATGGGAGAGGAAAATGGATTGGAGCAGTCATATTCTCCAAACATGGCACAGTGGGGTCTGCTGGGAAAGATCTGGTCTGCTGGGCCTCCTACACGAAGCATGAAGAGCTGTCAAGCCCCCACAATTCCTAGCAGACTCCATGTTCCCACTCTCCTCACCCCTAGTTGACCTATTATGTTCATTTGATTAATCCGTTGCCCTCCTCCTCCTCGGTACACTCTAGTTGTTCAATGAATATATACTTTTGTGCGATCCTGAAAAAGTAGAAATAGGAAGGGAAAGTCAGTCGCAAGAACTGCCCTGGCTTCTGAGTGTACTGCAACATGGAGCACACTGGCCTCTTCTAAAGGAGAGAGCAGAGGTGATTGCTGGAGCCACAGCAGCCATCTGGGCCTACATGAAGGCCCAGCCTTAAAGACAGGCAGACTAGGCTATTCCTCCCAAAGAAGGTGTAGGCATAAACTGCCACAAATTCCAGCCATTTTATCTCCCATTATTTCCTCTAATTTGGTGATGACACATGCTTCCAATTTCCATGCCGTGGTTAAAGGCCAAGCGAATCTCACAAGTTCTTATGAATATTATCTCACCCCACACCAATTCCCAGGCTTTTAGAAGACTTGTTTAACTATATTTGGATGTCCAACAAGGAAAGGCATCATCTGTTACTCGTAAGAAGCGACAGAAAACGTGTTCTCTTGTTCTTGGTAGAGCAGGGAAATCGATAATTTTCAAAACATTATCTTTCAAACATTATCACAGTTCTCTGTCACATGGCTGGACCACCACCAAAACTCTATAGTGATGGGGCGAAACGTGCAGACAGACTAAACATCACTCATCTACCGACTCCGTGCCAAGCAAACAGCATCGCACACTCAGCCCTCTGGCCACTTTTCCAGAGGTCTCCCTCACACCACCAGTGAGGGCACACCCACAGACCCTTCTCTGCAGCCTGAGCCCAGGGCATCGCAGCAGCTGTTCTGTGTACACTCTGTCAACGAGGCTCGTGGACAACGTAGGACACATCAGCTAGAACCGACAGGTACACCAAGAGAAAGGGCTAGGTTGGTTTATATTTCAAGTTTAGTCATCTATTTTACGTCAGCACTGAGAAGCAGAGTGGGTAAACTAGAGATCCCTAAGGAGGCTAGGCACAGCACTGCACCCTTGTAATCCCAAACACTTGGGAGCCAGAAGCAAGATCACAAGTCCAGACCAGCCCGCTACGTAAGACCTTGTTTCAGAAAACCAAACTCACGCCCACCACCTGTTCCGGAGTAGGCCAAGGACCATCGAGGATCTGAAGGCCCAGCACACAACACTCTAACACCAGAAGGGATGGTATGAGGCCAAGCACCCCTACTGCCCTCACTGTCTGTTCCAGTACCATTTTCTGTGGTATGAAGTTGGCCACCTGGCCAGCATTGGCCTTTCTGACTCGTGTTTTGGTTTCCTGACTGTCCCTCTTAGCTCCTCAGCTAAGAGGGACAGATCTGTTTTCTATTCCCCCAAATTGCGTAGCTTGGATTATTAGCTGACTTGGAAAGGGCCTGATCCAAGACTCTGGAAGGCGCTGGAATGGTGGCTGCACATGCCTAGCTCCATGCCACAGTAATGGGCACTGCTACCCACATTCCTTCTGGACTATCTCAACATGACACACACCCTGAGACCTTCTCACACCTCAGGCAAGCTCTGGCCTGTGGCCCATATTCAGCTCAGAAGAGATGGATTGTGTTCAAGAGATGTCACATTCTTTGGTTCAGATCTTTCTGTGTGCTGATGGCAGCAGTTCCAAACCTGCTTTGGTAGCTGCGGCCACCACTGGGCCTCTGACTGACAGCTACCGTAATGGGTCTGTGAAGAATAATGATTTCGGGGGGAAAATGTGAGCATGCTCGTACAAAGTGTAGGGTCTTTTAAACCGGAACACATATAATCGCTTAAAGCCTATATAAACAGTAAACAAAATGAAACAACAAAAAGAGAAGCTTTGTGCCATCGACATTCGCCAACTTGCCCACCAACTGAAACAAGTGTCCCTCGAGTACCTACCACTGCTGGCAGAACCAGATGGCTCTCTGCCACTCTGATTCCATGACATGCAATCCTGCTGGCTGGTAGCCCCGCCTCGCCCCAGGCCGGGAGCACACTGGGAAACACTGACCTCCCATCACTATGAGGTCTCAGCAAGTGCAGTCAACACTCAGCATGAATACCGAAAGTGACCCATCACCACCTAAACCTTAGGGCCAAAGAGGCTGCTGCCTGTGGCAACTTTCCTTTCTCCTCCGGAAGACAAGGCTAGCCCCATCACCCATCATTCTTACTTCCTCCTTCCGCGAGCGCTCACAAACATGTCGAGGTAAGCTGCCACAGACTTGTTCACAACACACGGGAGCTCTGCAGAGTCTCCCATGACCTAAGGAAGTCCTGAGCCTCTGCCTCAACAGTGGGAGAAGTATCCATTTATGTGTACTCTCAGAGTAGAGGGGCTTGAAGATCCTGCCACCGTCAGCATCAGGACCGGGGCCAAACATGTTGTCAGGGCTGCCTTAGCGTCTCAGGACCCAAGCCTGCTCCTCCACCACCCATTCGCTTCCCTCCCTGGTTCATAAATGGCTGAGGGATCTAACGGAGACCGTGACTGGGGAACCGTAACACTGTTCGTTTCAGCCACACGCCCCAGTTCCCACCACGTTACAGTTCAGAACTGCGGTGCCCTGTGCTTAATCAGAAATTTAGTCAAGACACCAAATTACAGAAGGCATTTGTGTTTCTGCAGACACTGCATTTACAAGAAATAATTGATACCATTGTTGTCCAAAGCAACGTTAGGCCTAACCTGGCACAAAGATACCAGTTTAGGGCGTGGTTTATAACCACACTTAGGTTGGCTAACACTACAACTCAATGGGATTTCTGTAGACTTTCTGTCTCATATCGCTTGTTTGGGTGTTTGGCTTACATATTAGTTTCCGATTTTTATGGGTTTTTTTTTATGTGTGTGTATTTCTTGTGCCTTTTCTTTATTTTTTTAAAATTCTGGCTGGGTGTTTGTTCATTTGTTTGCCTGTTTTCTATTGGGCTGGTGGGGAGGTAGGAGGAGTTGAGGAAGGAAAACTGTGATCAGAATCTGTTGTACAAAAAATTATTTCTAGGAGCTGGAGAGAGAGCTGGGGTGGGGGTGTGTGTAAGAGCACTTGTTACTCTTGTACAGGAGTTGGGTTTGGTTCCCAGAACCCACATGGTGACTCAACCACCTCTAACTCCAGTTCTAGGGGTGTCAGATGCCCTCTTCTGAGCTCTTGGGGTACTGCGTGCATGTGGTTCACATACACACATGCAGGCAAAAAACTCATACATGTAAAGAACAAATCTAAAAAATAAAAAGATTTTAAAATCTTAAGGCAAGTCTTGGTAACAACAGCACACTGCCTTCTATAAAAAAAAAAAATCTGTTTGAGTGGGCAACATGTCCTCCATATTGGGAAGGGTTTTTGTATAATGCTGAGAGCAGGTGAACGACAACCAAGTGATGATTTTTCTGATGCCTGGTCTGTAGACATGAGCACTGGTGATAACTTATGGGATGGATAGGCAGGAATCTGATCCCCAAGTGAGAGCCAAGCACCTGGGCCTGTTCGTCATCTTCCCACTCCAGGTGAAAATGCCCCGGGGAGGTGCCCAGGTTTCTCCTGGATGGAGGAAGCTGCTGATCACACACACCCGCCACGTGTGGGCTAGGTGCCCTGAACAGCCCCGGGAGAAGCCCCGGGAAGCCCCGTACTCACACAGCCTTCAGCAGAACTGCCGGGACTTCCAACCCTGAGAAGTAGCCTCGGAGGGAGGGAGCCAGCGCATCTGGAAAGACAGGAAGAGCAGTGAACCAGGGGTCCCACCTCGTTCTGGGCGGGTCTTCAGCCCTCCTCACTGCTCCCAGATGGCCAGGGTAGGATTTCCTGCCCAGGACCGAGAAACACCACAGCAGCAGCATCCTGAGAGACTTTGTGCCCTGTGAACGTACCAGCCAAGCATACAGTGCTGCACCTGCTCCAGCTGGCACGGGGTCCCGCCAACTGCCCTTCCTTTTCAGAGCTAAGGAGCATCAGAGGCCCAGGATGAGCCTGTGGATCCTCCCCTCCAACCTCCCTTAGAAATACCCAGGCCGGGCAGAGCTGCCTAATGGTTTCCTAAGCAATATGCAAGGGAGGGCACTTCACGACTCCTTCCGAGGCTGGCCTGGCGGGAACTCAACTTTCTCAAGAGCCTGTTCTCTCAGGGAAAGGGTTGGCTCCTGGCATGGTGGGGTTTCTGGAAGACCAGGCTGTGCTCACAGTGCTCCAGAGGTGCCTGGAGCCGGTGGCAAACAGCTAAACACAGGGCAACAGCAGCCTCTCGACAACCTAACAACCAGGCTGAGGGATGCCTTCTCCACCTGGCATATGCCCCGGGTCCTGTGCCAAGCAACGTGTGAACAAGCTTTGCACTCTTAAACACCCATCCACCGACAATGCCAGTTTTGTCTGTAGTCTGTTGGGCAGAGGGAATGCCTGTTGACCGCCGTCTCCATCCCTCATCCCCCTCCCTTTTTTTGGGGGACTGGGTCTCACATAGCCCAGGCTAACTTCTAACTCACCATGAAACCAAGGTTAGCCTTGAGGGGCTGGAGAGAGAGACCAGTGGTTAAGAGCACTGGCTGCTTTTCCAGAGGTCCTGAGTTCAATTCCCGGCACCCACATGGTGACTCACAACCGTCTATAATAGGATTAGATGCCCTCTTCTGGCATGAGGTATACATGCAGGGCACTCACACATAAAATATAAATAAATTAAATTAAAAAAACTAGCCTTGAACCCCCGATCCTCCAGCTTCTACTTCCAGAGAACAGGCTTACTCTACCTCTCCTCTGTCAGGTAAGAGGGATGGCCTCCCACCGAGCTCTGCCTGCCAAGTGCTGGGATTAAAGGTGTGTGTCACCACCGCCCAGCTGAGGGGACGCTTGGGAAGTGGGGGCAGGACCTCCACACATGGCTCCTCAAGTATGTAGATGTGGCAGGAGCCAGTTTGGCTGAGGCAGAGGTACCGTGGGGCCAGAGGGAAATTACAGACAACCCTAGGAAGACCCCAGGGTCTCAGGGATTCAGGCAAACCTGCCCCTTCTCTTTCACAAGTGTGGGAAGCAACCTGTCCCAGAATCCAGCTCAGAATGCAGAACCAGGCGCTGCTGGACCCTGCCCACCTGACTCTAAGGGCCGAGAAGCCAAGGGGCTGGACTCTAGAGAGAAGCTAGTTCTTAGACCTTTGCCCCAGTCCCCAAGCAGTCCTCAGGGGTTTCCTGCCAACTCAAGGACCCTCCCCCCATAGTAATCATGTCTCCTGGTTGTCAGTGTAGCACGGGAGGGCCACACAAGGGGTCTCCACCTACTAGGTCAACTTGGGGTAGAGACCTCTCTCTGACTTGGGACATATGTGGCTCCAAGCAAACCCCCAGGATGAACCGTAAGCTTCTGGCACTTCAGAGTCTACCTCAGGGCATCCCTGGGGCCATCTTGAATATGAGGTGTCCTCTGGGGACCATGTCAGAAGTCATTTCCAGAAAGCAGAGAGCAGCTGGCCAGAGGCTCAAAGACTGTGAGGGTAAAGCCATGTTGCCCAAGAGTCCCCAGACCCCCCAATAGTCTTTGAAGACAGGCCAGCATCTTTCCCACAACTCATGGCAGGAGGGGCTGAGGGACCAGAACCTTGTCCTGGAGGACAGACTAAACAGCCACACTTGAGTGTCTGTAGGACAAAAGGAGCTTTAAAAAAAGAAAATAAAAAATCAAGAGGAGAAAATGCGGAAAATTGGGGCTTGGAGGGCTAGAGACAGAAGAGACCAGTACCTACCCATGGCTCATGGCTCGTTCATTCATCTGAGTCCATTTGCTCACTAAAGAGAGCAGAGTTGGCGCTGCCTTCCCGCGTCAGCTGGGGAAGGTCAGCCTAGGGGCCAGGGCCCTTAGGCAGGGGGCGCGGGGACCCGAGACCTAAAATGGTCCGTGTGCACTGGGTCAGTGTGGAGCGGCAGTGGCAGTTGTGAGGCCTGGGTGTGAGGAGGGGATGTAGGGCCCCGAGGCCACCATGGGATGGTGTTCACTGTGGGGACACAGGAATGAATGGGCTGGCGGGGGGGGGGGGGGGGGACGGGGACGGTGAGCCGCAGGGTAGATGGCATGGGTCTGGGCCAGGTGAAGGTGACTGTGAAAGAGACCTCCTCGCTGTCTGCCACTGTAGCGCGCGTGCGCACGCACACACACACACACACGTCCTCCATCACACAGCAGCCAATTGAGAAATGGACTCCCAAGCTCATCCCTCTGTGTGGTTCACGGCTGGGACTCCACAGTGTGCTTTCCAAGAGGTGGTAGCTCTTGCTGCTTTCCAGATACCCGAGGCAACCCACCTTCCAGCAGGGGGCAGTGCCTGGCAGGCCAAACTGAGCAGCCTCCTGTCCCTACACCCACAGAGGGGCAGAGTCCGAGGGAGGGGCATGGCCAGGAATGTGGGCAGCTGGCCCAGGAGAACAGGCTGTTTTGTGCTAATCACTACCGTTTGGAGGATGGCAAGGAGAAGGATCACCTTTACCCCCGTTTGGGCAGTCTGCTCTGCTGTAGCTTTTGGCCCCGGGGTCACTCCTGTCCAAACCCTGAGGCTGCTTCTGACTCCTCATTAACACCTGACTGCGGGGGACCACAGGCTTCCCTAGACTTCCTCAGAGTCAGCTTTTTAAGAATACCTTAAGTCCACGTGTAACCACGGAAGAGCTGGCCTCAAGGGTCATCCTGGTCACTTCTACACTGCAGAAGCATGTACACACACACACACACACACACACACACACACACACACACACACACTTCACAAGCTTGTATACTATTCCGGGGGTTTAAGGTCCCCATGAGAACTTCTAATACAATATTTAACTAACAATATCTAATACAATATTTAACTAACTAACACAGAGTTAGTCTGTGCCAGAGGTAAGTGTCAAGCATATCACAGACTGAGAAATCTAGAAACCTGAAATTTCTCCAAGTAGCCAAGTTGTTAAGGGGGTAGTTCATTGTCCTGGGGCCACACTGCATGGATTCCGCCACCCTCCATCAGGAATGCTGCTTTAAAACACTCCTCATAGAAAGGCAATATTGTCTCGTCAGGTACTAATATCCCAAGTGGTGACAGGCTAGATGTGAGTGGCAGACACCTGGGAAGTAAATAATTTGGAGAAAAAATATGCCAGAGAAAGTAGCAGATACCCACAAGACACAGAACGGAAGCCCGACACTTCAACACCACGCAGGATTTGTTCCCAATGATGGTGCCCAGGGCAGAAAGGCCTGCCTGTCTCCAGGGTGGCACCCCCTGCAGGCCGAGCACCCCAGGGCGGGGCAGGGACGCCTACCACTTGCTCTGACTCTCCCCTCTCTAGGGACTGAGCCCCACTGTCACCGTCCTCTTCAGATTCCTGAGGAAGGCTTCCAGGACACAGGGACCACTATAGTTAGTGGACAGCCTTTGGTGGCTTTCTCTGCGGACCACAGGGGCAAGTCCAGTCTCTGGGCCCCCAGGCTCACCTCAGCCCGAATCATTTTAAACATCGGACCCCATGTATTTGTTTGTGAATTTATTTAGGTGTGTGAGTGTGGGGAAGGAGGGCAGCCTGGCCAAGCTGGTTTTTCTTTCCACCAAGTGGTGGGAGCCAGGGATTGAACTCAGGTCATCAGGCTTGGTGGCAAGTGCTGCCGCGCCATCTCACTTGCCTTTCAAAGTGCCCTCTGGGCTGCTGGCATGCACATGCTCACGTGTGAGGCCCTGCTCTTGACTTAGACTTCCCGAAGCATGCCTGGAACAGTCTAGAAAGGCCGGCAGCACAGTAAGCTTGAGAGCTGTTAACACTCTCCGACCCTGGGCGGAGTCAATGCGGAACAGTGCATGAAAGGTTCTGCTGTGATACGGGACTCACCCCTGGGCTCCCCAAGGTCCCCTGGCCAAGAGTCTTTTGACTCTGTACCAGCTATTAATACCCAGGGAGCTGAGAAATGCCAGGGTGGGCCCCTGCCAGTGGTGATGAGGTGGGTCTAGGGGGCCAAGGTGCATCCAATGTGGCACCCAAACTTCTAGCTCTTAATGAAACTAATCTAACATTTGAAGATGACCACACCAGTGACATCCTGGTCTAGTCGCTGTGGAACAAACCCAAAAGCAAACCTATCCATTTTGAGCCTAACAGTTAAGAGAGTACTTCAAAAAAGGATTTTCAGGACTGGTAAAGGGCTCAGTGGCTAAAGGCGCTTGCTGCCTAGACTGTTCACCGGAGTTCCATTCCTGGCACCTAAGAATTGTGTGACTTGTCTACAGGGAAGTCTATCATCTTACTCATCCCAGCAGCTGGGCAAGGACCAAGTAAGAACATCTCGGCTATAGCCAAGAGGTAGCTTATACAAATAATCCTAGCACTCGAGATGCTGAGGCAGGAGGATTGCTGCAAGTTTGAGGCCAGCCTCGATTGCCTGTCCAACACTATCTCAAAACATCAAAAAGTCCCAGCTGGAAAAGACTGGTTCTTCAAAGGCTCCTAGGCAGGATGACAAGTGTGTCAGTCACTGGGATCTGAGCCTCAAAACCAAGGTCCTAGGATCATGAACACATCCTCAAAGACCAATCGTGCCGGGGACCAAGCCCTTGGGGCTAACTCTCCATCCCGGGCCTCAGCTCTCCCTGGCTGTCCAGAGAGTAAGTTAGGCTCCTGTTTCCAGACAGGCGTGTGAAATGTGCTCCGATGTCTCCAAGTTCACCGAGACACTGCTCTGGTTGAGGGCAT